CCACCGGGCCGGCCCCATAAATATTATTTTCATATAGGATATTTACAGTGTGAATGCTAGCATATATAAGTGGGTTCTCAAGAATTTAAAAATGGTTCTCAAGAATTTAAAAATGGATAACTGATTTGTGTTAGTTATTTCTGTGATTTTATTGGATTTGATTTTGATTTAATTTGTAGCAAGAGACATATTTTAAGGCAATTTCACAGGAAGTTATGTCTAAAATACATGACTACCAAAAATAAATAAAATGAATTTGACTGACTAAAACTTCAAGAGAGACTTGCTTCCCATGAGACACTGGGATGCGTCCTCCTCACATTGAAGGGAATGTAAAGATTGCTTCCCTTCCTGCTTTTGCTCCCAGGACAGCCCAAGACAATTTTTATCTTCACTTCAGTGACTGTGTGGCTTCCTATGGCACATACATCTGCCTTCTATTTCCCATGTAATTATTTTCCCCTGGATCCTGGTTCTTGTTTATTTCTTTGCTCTGTAATTGTGTGTTATTTTTGTGTGTGAGCAAGCTCACCTTCTTCTGATAGCCTGGCAGGTGCAAAAAAGACAGAGATAAAACCTGAGTTAATGTTTCTTGTTACAGACACAGCCTCTTTGGGCTTGGGAAAATAGATCTCATGAAATGTGATTTGAAGCAAAAATTAAAAAAAAGAAAAGAAAAAGAAAACCTGGCACTGAAAGGCACCGTCATTTCTTCTCTCTTTTCTTCTTCAGTTATGGGAGAGTTGCTCATTTCCAGTGATAGTCTTATAGTCATTGAGGATGAACCTTGTAATGTTACTTGTCGAGCAACAGGCTGGACCCCACTCCCGAATATTTCCTGGGAGATCGGTGTCCCGGTGAGCCATTCAAGCTATTATTCTGTTCCGGAGCCTGGTGACCTCCAAAGCACAGTGAGTGTCCTGGCTCTCACGCCACAGGGCAACGGGACTTTGACTTGTGTGGCTGACATGAAGAGTCTACAGGCCCGCAAGTCTGTAACTGTAAACCTTACTGTGGTTCAGTCTCCCCTGGGTAAGTGAAGACTTTCTGCTTAATATCAAATAACTTATTATTTCATGCTCATATTTTATGTCATGCTACTTCATCAGCAATGCCTAGGAAAATCAGATGGTGACCTTGATTTCAGATAGGGGTAGTAATAAGGGCAAATTTCATGTGCTGTCAGCTTAATAATCCTGTAATCTTCTCTGCTTTTCAAATTCCAAGTTTTTCTCTCCTTTTTAATCACATATGAAAACACTTTAGAATCTTGCCAATTATTTATCATAAAAGAACATAAAGTTCAGAGATAAGTACTTGAATTAAACATTTTTCTCTAGCTTTTACCCACCATTGTTCTAGTTTGATCCCACCCCCTAGGCCAATATGAAGCAAGTCCTAATACTGGAGGATGGTGTTCAGGTCCTGCCATATTTCTTCCAATCTTAGTGGAATTATGATGCTTCATTTTCCACCCAGCAAACCCACAGTAAATTTGAAAGCACCAAGTCAATACATATCATTTAACTTGACTAAGTGACATGCCTTTAAAGTTTAGATACCCCAAAAGAATCTACTCTGGGGTCCTTGGCATACCAGAAACTCTAACCACATTCCTTGAATAGACCCACAAAACTTGTGAACTCTGAGTTGGCCTGGATGGGGTGGGGCTGCAGGGAAGGGCTGGAGATTTACTTTGTTTCATTTCATAAAAGAGGAAGGGAGACCGAGAGAAATGCTGTGCTTTAATCCAGGTCCTGTAGCTGGATGGAGCAGAGATGGGCCTCTGAACTAAGAAGAGCTTTTGTCTTGGTCCAAAGCTTTTTCCACTGTGGAAACACATTTACTGGAGATCTTGCAAAGTTTGGAAGAAAGCTCCAGCCAAAGCAAAATAATAACAATAACAATAATAAACAGCGCTGTATAGCACTGACCAGGAACTGTTCTAAGCACTTTTCAGATATTAACCAAATCAACCTGTATGACAACCCTATGTGTGAGTGCTGTTGCTACTCCTATTGTAAAGGCAGGTGACAGGGACAGTGTTTGGATTTTGTGCATGTCTGCAGAGTTAGAGAATAGCAGGGGCAACTCTGTCCTCAGAATCTGCTCCCTGTCAACTTCACCACTGTGTGAGCAGCCACCTAGAGGGTGTATGAGTTTCCTAGGGTATACGTAACAGTGTGAACAGTGTAAATGCAAACAGGGTGGCTTAACCAACAGGAATTTGTCATCTCAGAGTCCTGGAGGCTGGAAATCTGAGATCAAAATGTTGGTAGGATTGGTTCCTCCTGAGGGCTACAAGGGAGAATCCATTCCATGCCTCTCCCATTTCTGGTGGTTTGTTGGCAATCTTTGGCTTTCCGTGGCTTGTAGAAGCACCTCCTTGATCTCTGCCTTCATCTTCACATGGTGTTCTCCTGTTTGTCTTACGCCATATACACATTTTTGAAGGGTCCAGGCTATTTTTGCAAGATGCCTCTCAACTGGGATTTGTCTGAATTTTTTCAACATACTTTGATTTAGGCTAAACATTTTTGGAAAGGTATAGGTAATGTTATGTGGGCACATGATGACAATTTTCTTCTTCACTGGTAGTAAGTTCGATCGTTTGGTTAAGGTGGCATCCCCTGGGTTTCTCCATTGTGAAGGTAACTTTTTGCCTTTTATAATTAATATGTAATCTATGGATACTGTGAGAATATCCTGTTTCCCTACAGTCTTTCACCTAATAACTTTTGCATTTATTGGTAAGTCATTACCTGAATCAATTATTTCTATGGTGATTGTAAAAGAGTGTTTTCCTGCTTCCATCATTCTTTCCGTATTTAGTAGCTGGCATTCTTCTTTTTTTTTTTTCTTTTGTCTTTTTTCCGTGTCCGGCAACGGATCGCAACCCGGGGACCGGCAACGGGATCGCAAGCCTCGGTGTTGCTCCCGCGCCTCGCTCAACCAGTGAGCGGGAG